CCATCACCACAGTGGTGCCAGTGGCAAGTGGGATCCATTCCTCACATGCAACCAAGGCCAAGCAGCTGGTTCTTCCTCTGCATGGGGCCTGGGGAAGTAGTATGCCGTGGAACCTGAGGCTTCCCTGGGCTCCTGCCAATGTCATAGGGAGAGTGGGTTTGCCTATGAACAGCCCTGTTCTCTTTCCCACAGTATCAGAAGCCCTGGGAACCAATGACAGCTGCCCTTTGTTCACTGTCATCAGCAAGCCCTTTGGCCAGAGCAGAGATGCTTTATTGCCACGTGGGCCAAACATCTCTCTTATTTTCAGCCTGAAGATGGTTTGCCATGTTTTCTGGGGAGTCAATTATCTTCTGGAACAAGCCATAGGCCATCAGGAAAGTTTATAAACCACCCCTCAGGAAGAATGCTGGGTTCAGGTGACATGTTAACCCACCATGGCTTAAAATATGTTGTGTGAACTCCATCATGGATAGCCATTTTTTGCATGGAAATGATCCCAGTTTCAGTCCCTGAGATCTTCTACAGTAAAAGATTTTGGCAGTGAGTGATGGGAAAGATCTTACCTGAGATGCCCCCAGGTAGAATACAGTCTGCTAAATAAACAATGCAGAGTTAGTCCACTGGCACATGATAAAATTGCTTTCTATCTTCCAATCACAGTTGGACAAACAGGGCTAATGCAACCTATGTAAGAAGGCAGAGCTCATGCATCAAATTTTATAGTGGGTAGAAGCTCAGAACCATACCAGTAATTACAGATATTGGCAAGATGGGGAATGAACAGTGCAAGGTAAATAAAGCACACAATCTACAGCAAACACCAGCATCATTTACAGGAACAAGTAACCACCTGCTGGGGAAAACATCTTTTTCTTTTTCTTTTTTAGGATATGTATTAGCAATTACATTTGCAATTATCTCAGTGCTTATAGAAGGGCTCAATAAAGGAAATGGGAGTTTCATCATCTAATGTAACACACCCACACACACACACACACGCACTGTACTTTTGCAATGGCAATTTATTCTTATCTGAGCTAAATTGTGTTCCATTTAACTGTTCTGTTCATCAGAACATAAATCACTCAGATCACTGGAAACCTCATACTGTCATTAATAAGCAGCAGATGTGGACAAAGTCCAGGACCATGTGGGATTCAGCAAATATTTAGTGTTATTTCAGCATCACATATAGTAATAGATACCAGATTAGTCCAATGTGGAAGTAACCAAAGCTCATTGTGCTCAACTGCCTCCTCGTATGAGAAACTCCAGGCATTTAAGTCTCTTAAGCGTGTGATGCTGATGAGAAGAATACCAGAACTTTTAGGTGATGGCATTTGTCCGGAACACTTTAAAGAGACTCAAACCGTTCTCTAGCAAGGAGAGTGGCTGGATTTTCTCCAGGAGAAGCAGGAGCCTCAATTGTCTGACATCAGCTGATCTCTCTTTGGGAGAGCCAAGAATGGCATGTGAGCTCCAGCCCTTGCCCAAAGACCACCTTCATCATGCTAGCACATGGTTCTGCGTACTGGAGAAGTGAATGACACACTCAGAAACATATAATACCATATAGTTAGTTTCTAGTACTGCTTTCCTTAAAATGGATTAAATATTCATAGTCCAGCAATTAATATTTTTCATGTGTCTATTTAACCCACTTAGAAATTTGATTGCATAGTGCATTTTTCTGATTGTGGGAGACAAGCTCTAAATACAAGACAATGTAGTTTGGCTTCCAGAATGTACCTTGTGAACCAAAACATGTGCCATTTTAGAAGAAAATAGGGTGGCAGAAGATCCTTGAAGACCAACGTGTGTGTGTGTGACCAGCAGCAGAGGGAAGTTTTCAGTGTTATAATTTTAGAGGGAAAATAGGCTTCAAAACAATGAGGGGGTTTGCAGGGGTTGCTTCTTGTCTTTCCTTAAGACTTAGTCTTAACGATAGAATTTATAAGTACAGGTAAGACCTGCAACATAATGTTGTAATGTTCAGGCCTTTTTTTTACTTCTGCAAACACGATTTGCACTCTACCTTTCTACAAAAATGGCAGTCAAGGTGGCTTCCATAATTAAAATTGATTCAAACAACCACATTTATTAAAAAATTTTAAAAGTATCAACCCCTAACATAAAAAAATAAAAATACCTCACCCCCAAGAAGCCACTTGCAGGCCCAAGATCTTCTTGAATTAAAGTAATATTTTTGCTGATGGTGGAAAGACAGCAGAGAGGGAGCCAAGCTTTCCTTCAGAAGGAGTTCCATAGCCTGAAAGCAACTACTGAAAGGACTAACACATTTCACTTCAGCTGTATCAAGATCAGCATCCAGAGAACTGGAACTGTTATTAACATATTTGATCTATTCCTGAATATGAAGGTCCAATTTACTTATTAGCAGAGGAGGGGTTTTCATGGACACAATAGAATGCATTTTATTCATCTATGACCCTCATTCTTCATGAACATAAACAGCTGGGAGTCATATGGCCATGACCAGACCATCCCTTTAATTTCCCAGCCAAGCTAGACTGCCTCTCCTCCCAACATGACAGCCATACCATGGCAGGGTCCCCAGATCAGCAGGGGACCCAAGCTCCTACTATGTCAGAGCACTGTCCACCTCCTAGGCCAATATTCTCAACACTAACAGCAATTCTCCTGTATTTCAGGCAGATTTGTCTCCTAGATCCACCTGGAGACACTGGGGATTGAATCAGGGGCTCGAATCATGTGATACATGTGCTTTCCAACTGCACTATGGCCCATCCCTGTAAAATAGACTACCATTTCAAATATGTAAGTCTTTAAACAACTTAGCTCTTTTGAAATCAAAACAGTGATGCCAATGTCCATGTACCAATACACGGCTTTCCAAATTCTTCATTGAATATTGATGCACAAATTAAAACTGGGCATAATTTCAAAACTGGTATTAGATGGCCACTTCCAGCCTGGAACAGAAAACCAAGACACCATAGTACATAGTGTCTAGTACATAGTAAAATACTTGGCACTATAGAAAAAGCACTACAGGAATAGAATAGAATGTGGTTTTGCATTCTGCAGCTCTGTCTCTTATGCTGAGTGTGATCAGCAGTCACTAAAGTTAACAGATTGGGTTGCATACTTTTTAAACCAATTACTTCAGCCAGGGAAGCTGATTCTTAAGATTTCAGAGCACTGAACTTTGAGGGTAGTGCATCACCGTGCAGGCACAACTCATCTTCTTGAGGCCATCCTTCCTCTGTTCAGCCCCTCTGTGCATAATGGAGCCCCTGCTGAAGTGGCAGTAGATCTGTCTGTAAGTTCATTAAGTCACTCAGAACTGCCAAAAGACACGAACTTTTGCCTTTGTTGGGGACCTCAACGTGGATTTGTTTGCACAGCTATGGCTTCTACCGTTCAAAATCACCTTCTCATGGATTGTAGTCAAACCATAAGCCTAGCACTTGCCCTATGCATGCTGAAGAACTCCTGCAGGAGTCACTTATGGATGAACTGAAGCTGAAAAGCACCAAGAGCATAAATAAAAGAACCAAGTTCCATCCAGCTCCTTATAGCAGAGAACAGATTTGGGTGTGAAAAAGCCATCCTGTTCCTCCATATGTATACCTGTGATGGTTAGCTGAACTTAGCAGGTGATTTTCCAGGACGCCTGTCCCTTGTTAACTCTGGCTAGATAGAAGATAGCTGCTGCCGTTGAGGTGTCCCAGGAGATTGTCTGTAACCCAAGGGATCTTCTGGAACACCTCTTCGGTCTCCACAATGCCTGGCTCTGAGGAAGGAACTCACAGAGCCATGTATTTGGGTCTGCCTGGCTATCTAAAGAACTGCACAAGCCACCTTCTCTGGTGGATGGAAATTTCCAGGGGACAAGCAGCAGTGGAAGTAAGTGTGGGAGGGACCTTAGGGGTCAACAGGAATGGATCTTTCTAAGTGTGAGCACTCTTGGCAGCTGCCTAGTCTTGCCAACCTGAGGCCAGATCTGATTCCCAAGACAAATTCAAAGTGCTGTTTTTCATCCTGAAAGCCTTAAATGGTTTGGGTTCATCACTTATGGCCTTTCTCCATATCAGCCTGCCCACACTCTGCAGTCATCCATAGAAGCCCATCTTGCCAGCTGTTGATAACAGACTTTATTGCTGTCATTTACTTTTATAATATTTCACTGTATATTGATCAATAGCTGTACTGCTAAACTTACAGATTTGATGCAGCCTTGAGAGGATTTTATCCTTAAAAAAACTCAAAACCCATTTAAAATACTTAAATGAATAAAACAAATTATGTTTTATGACCAATAGTAGTGGAAGAACTGGTTTTTAAATATGGCACGGCTAATGTGTTTCAACCTTACCTTTGCAATCCTCAAAAGTTCCTTCATCATCACTCAGCAGGCAGCTGCTGAGAATTGGCAGGCGACTTCCCATGTTACCACACTGCAACTAATGCTACCATCCTAATTAGGGTGGACAAGTGATCTCTCCCACAGAGGACAGTGCTCTCTTTGAAGGGCTGCCAGAGGAGTGTTCTCTCTCTGATGATCTTCTCTATTTCAAGGGCAATCCAGTGCAAGTCCAGTTTCAAGACAGAGAAAAGAACTATTGCCCATCCATAATAACTAGAGCCTGCAGCATGAACAGGCAAGGACACAGATCACCAGGTCACATTCCTGCACATCAAGATGAGATGCCCTGTATTTTTAAAAAATTATATTTACTTCCAAACTTGCATTTATATATTACTATATGGAAATTTTACGCAAATTCTTGTTCTCCTTTGAAGTATTTTTAGGTGTTTCATGCCCCTTTTTTTGGTGGCCACCCTAAAACTGATGAATGCTTCCTTTAAACTAAATTACATTGGACTTGGTGCTTCTTCATTTCACAAACATATGGTTAAAAACAGACCACAAGTCAAGGACTTTATTGCAAGCAGATTGGACTGTAAAAAGTAACCCATCACACAACATTCTGCTTGTCTGAAAGTGAACTGGAATTACTTTATTTCAATGGATTATGATACAATGCAGTTAAAAAGCAAATCACTATTCATAATTTTAAAGGAGTTGCACAAGCCTGAAGCATCTTTGACTGATCAAATGATTCTTCAGGAGATTCTACAAAGAGATTTTGTTATAACCACAATTTGGGTGAATAGAAAGTGCATATCAAATAGCCATTACTAATTGATATTTAGTATATGTCTAATGCAGTAGAGTCTTTTAAAGTTAGAACTCCTAAAGAGAACACATACATCTATGCTATGAAATTTGCAAACACCTTTATGATTTTATGTCTCAAACAAGGTATTTTTACCTGAGAGTATACTAAGTGACATTAAAGCTAAAGGCACACAATACCATGTGGTCTTTCCTGAGTATAGGTTCATTCTGAGTTATGTCACACAAATAAGGATACTTCCAAATGGTCCTTTCCCCAGGAAGCAAAGTGCTGACTGTAATGCCAAATGGGAAAGGGGAAGAACTATCTAGTAGCACAGGCAGGGCCAGGGAGGTGGAGGGTTAGGGTGCTGCCCCACACACTATTCATGATGATTGCTCCTAGTGGTTTACACTGGCAACAATTAGCATGAGCAAGTGCATACAGCCCCTGTCCTTAGGGACACAGGAAGTGGCCTTGCACTAGCTCAGACCTTGATCCATTTTGCCCAGTACCATCCATGGTGACTAGTAGTGGCTTTCCAGCATTTCAGGCAGGGGGTTTTCCTGTTCTACCTAGAGATGCCAGGGATTGAATCTGGGTCCTTTCATATGCAAACCATGTACGCTGCCACTGAGCTATGGACCCTCTCCATGCCCTACAGATACAGTGGCCATGTTCCCTACTTTACAGAAGGCATTCTCTCCTTAAGAAGCTGCCAGAGGACAGCCCTGTTTGGAGGCATCTTCTCTTTGAGGGGCTCTCCAGCCCCAGTCCAGTTTAAAGATAAAGGGAGAGCATAAGCCCCTGTGCAGTTGTCCATCAACAGACAGCACCTGGAAAAAAGGCTGATCAGGTGCACAGGTAATCTGCTCATCTCTAATAAAGCTGTCTTTGCAGCTCTGATGAGATGTTTTCTATTTCTATTTAAAAGATAGTAATTTGAATCCTTACATAGAATTAGCGCATGTACTATCATGAAACCCTCATCTCTCCTCTTTTGATGATGCATTTCCTTGTTTTAGTGATGGTTATCTGGCCACCCTACCTTCAAAAATGTTGAGCTTTCAAATGTACTCTCAGTTATTGTCTATGTGCAGCAAAGCATTTTTGTTGCCAGATCTCTGGTATGTAACAGTCACATTTATATACTCTGTTGCTGCATTCAGTGGTGATTCTGTTCTTTGCTAACATTATATTTATGTTATAGATTGTATCTCACCTTTCCTTCATGGAGCACAAGGCAATGGAAAATTTATTCTCACAACAGTTCTGTGAGGTAGGTTAGACTGAAACATAATGACATCCCCAAAGGTTGGGTGAGCTTCTTTGCTAAGGGGAGAACTCTGGCCCAAGTCTCATAGTGAGTGAATTCAGCATAGAAGGCATTCAAAATATACAGCAGCCTTCTGTGTAATAATTATAAAAATAAATTAACTCCGATGCTGTTAAGTAACAAGTGCAATGTAGTACCTTCAATTATCCAGCAATTCAGGGATATCATTTGCTGAGTACTGATGCTAAATAATTCTACACTAGTTTTTTGTATCCTTTGATGCAGTCAGAACATAACTAATAATAAATAATAATGATATGACAAAGAAACAAAGTTATACAGTTGAAAACAAACATTTTGTAAATTTGGAACCTAAACAAGAAATTATCCTTTATACCTAAAGCAAATTTGTATTACATATAAATTGGTTTTAAACTGTGTTTCCTGCAACATTAGGATTGTATTTGGGTTTTTAACATGTATGAAAATTTCCCAATTTACCCAAGAGCAAAGAAAGAGTAGACCTATCTATTAATGGCCTGGATTGATTTTCACTTTGACAATGTCACCTCTAGCCTGCTCAGTAGTAAAATGTTCTCTTTCTACTTCAAGCACAGCATATAAACAACACACTAACGGACTTTTCATAAATTAATCTCTAGATGCACAGATTGTGTAAGCTTAAATGATACAGTAGACAAAACCATTGCATCTCAGATATGGAAGAAAGAATTGGTAATCTATGAGAAAATATTTAGATAAATTAGATCTCATCTTCTGACTCCTGATCTCGCTCAGATGTTTTCAGTAATCCAATTTCCATTGTTGGGGCTTGTTTTAGTTTTGAACGAACTACCCTGGAGAGGGAAAAATAAAGTACAACAATTAATGGTACCGCTTCAACCATCTAAGTCCAGCAGGGGACAACTGGAGGTTTGGTTATTCCTATATGAGGTGCAGCGTTAACAATGGATTCATACCGAGTCCGGTTCCCAACATTCTAAGCGATTCTCCCAACATTCTGATATGCCATGCTGTAGTGCAGGGGTGCAGAATCCTGGTCATAGGGGCCAAATCCAAATCTCTGAAAATCCTCAGAAAGCCAGTTCCCTTCCCCCGTCCCCAGCCTTTTCTCCTAACCATCAGTCCTTGGGGTGTTTCTAGGTTTTGTGCTATCTCCAGTGCTCTGTCCAAATTCCAAAAGGCTGAAGTGCCTCTCCTAAGGCTTAGATGCTTGCATTAAAAACTTTAAATTAAAATACACTGCTGTTTATGATCTTTTTGGAAGCAAGACCCATCCTTTGCCTTTTGCCCTTCCTGCTGCTGGAATGTGGGCCCAAGGGCTTCTCTGAAATGGAATCCAGCCCTCAGGCTGAAAGAGATTTTGCATTCCTGCTGTACCGTGACAAAGAAAACAGAATTCTCAGTTAAGTCTACATGGACAGGAATAGCCTTGCTCTTAAATGTTTGGTGTCATTGGGACAGAGAGCAGGTTCTATCCTTACTCCAATTTTTTGCTCTTAATTTTTGTGGAGAAGCAACATTTTACACTGTCACAACAGTGAAGGCAGAACCTTCCTGTCACCCCCAGCAGTGGGAAGATGGGGCTCCCACAGGGTGGATGCAATGCAGGGGGAGGGTACACACTACATCCTTTCTAGGGATCCTTGCAATAATATACAAGCCCTCTCTGCAGACATACACTCGGCCTGCCTGCTCGTTATATCTGGTAAGGGATGTCTGAACAGGAAAGCAGCTCACTGTGTTAGTACTGAAGAAAATATGGAGAGACACCGCTGAATGTCTTGCCCTGCAATTGCTCCAGGAATGGGTTCAGGTAAACTCAAACATCTGTGTTTGAAAAAAATGTGCAGTGTAATTGATCCTGCTATATGGAGGAAGGGGAAGCATAGCTACAATGTATATTGCCAAACTGTGATCCATTTGTTTGACAAAGACAGTGTGCTGTAGTGGTTAGAGTGTTGGACTGAGACGCTAAAGATCCTGTTCTGCTCCTTGTTTGGCAGTGAAGCTCACTGACTTTGGGCCAATCACTGACTCTCAGCTTAGCCTACATTGTAGAGTTATTACAAGGAAAAAATTGTAAGAAGGATTATGTAAGCTGCCCTAGGTTCCTTGCAAGAGGGGAAAACGCAGGATATACTGAATAAATATTTGCAATAAAAATTGCTGGCATAGGCTTCCTGATCCACAGGAGCCCAGAAGAGAAGGTTTGAAGCAGTCCTACTCTTATGCTAGGTTCTCAGTAACGATAGAACCTCCAAAATTATCCAGTGTCGAATAGGCAAGCATTAAAATGGGCTTCCATAGCCTGGTGCTCTCCAGATGTGTTGGGTAACAATTCTCAGAATGCCCAAAACCTGCTGGGAAAAATAGTCCAAAACACATCTGGAGGTTACCAAACTGGGTGAGCCTGCTTTAAAGTAACATCTGCTTTATCTCCCAGCATCTGTTTTGCCCTGAATGCCAGAACGATATTCTCAGAGCTACATTGTCTGGTTATGATTATACAGTGATGAGAAAAAAAAAAGAGGAGTTGATATTGTCAGGGACTCAGTTTTCTTTATCAGAAGATGATTATATGTTGTTCTAGTGCTAGGCAGTAACAATCAAATGGGTCCCTATGCTCTAACAATCAACTCCAGTGAGCTCTCCTATGTAGTAAGCTCTGGGAGGCTACATGAAAAGCTTCAAGAACTTATGAAGTCACTGTACCTTTGAGAAGCAAGATGGGCATTGCTCATTTACATATTTTAAAAAACATCTTATTTGTTATTCGCTCAGCAAGCCTATGAGGAAAAGTCAGCTTGCAGCTGGGTTGCTTCAGAATGAGGTTTTGTAGGCCACTTCCATTTTGGATCCCTCCATAACAGGAGGATTTCTTTTTGAAGGCCTGAAATTTTTATTACATTGAATAACATTTCAAAGACTTAGCTTGTAGTGGCAAGTTAAGTGGAGATCTAGAATTTCTCTTCTTAAGTAGAATCCACTTACCAGCTGACTATCATGTAATTCACTGCCATTATAAGAAGTGCAAATGCATAATGCCAGCAATAGCACATCGTGAGGAACATTATATTATTGTGATCCATTTGGTTCCATTCTGGACTCCCACTTGGAGGATAAAGAACGAATCCAATCTGTGAAATCAAAAAGGCACAAACAGATTTAGATTTAGAAATATTTGTTTGTTTGTTTGTTTAAAACATTTTTATGCCGCCCCCATTGCAACAAAGCCTCGGGGCGGCTCACAACAGGAAGAAATTAAAAATTGTATAAAAATATTATACAAGTATTTGTATTTATAGTTTGCAATGCCATGTTTATATGTTTATTGCATGCCATGTGATAGCCATTAGGGCTCAAGGAAAGAATATTAAAAAATTGACAGATCTCAGCAGTGTTTTATATTCTCTGCGTAGCCCTGGAAAGTTCCCATAATTCACCTCAGTTCCCAATCCACATGAGTCCCTTTCTCACAGAGTTAAAGTGCGGGTGAGCAATATAAGAACACAAAGCTTCACCATAAGAACAACCTTGCTCGATCAAGCTGCCCAGGGAACTTTGTTGTAAACCACCCAGAGAGCTTTGGTTTTGGGCAGTACAGAAATGAAAATAATATTAATAGTAGTAGTAGCAGCAGTAGGAACCCAAAGCCCTGTCATAATTGGCAACGAGAAGGCTCTAGAAAGAACACGAAGGCAACCTTATCTTTCATGAGGATAATGAAAACACATAGAATTATTAAATGCATTCAATGTATTTCAGTGCATCCAGTATCCATGGAAGCAATAATACTCGGGAAATTTGAAGCAGAAAAAGAGGATCACCAGGTATGAGATGGATTAGTTCCATTAAAAAAGTCACAACCTTGAGTTTACATGAGTTGAACAAGCTGTCAAGGACATTTTGAAGGGCATTATTTATAGGGTCACCATAACACTTGATATATACACAGTATTCCAAATCAAGAGAAGTAGTAGTTCCTCTATGCTCCTCACTAGTCAGACTTCATCTGGAATACTGTGTCCAGTTTTGGGCACCAAGATTTAAGAGAGATGTAGGAAAATTAGAAAGGGTCCAGAGGAGGGCAAAAAAAGAGAGAGATCCAGGGTTTCGAAACACTGCCCTGTGAGGAGAGACTGAGAGAACTGGGTATGTTCAGCCTTGAGAAGAGAAGACTGAGTGGGGACACAATATCCCTCTATAAGTACCTGAAAGGCTGTCACAAAGAGGAAGGTCAAGATCTCTTCTTGTTGATGCCAGAGTGTAGGACACAGAATAATCAATTCAAGTTGTGACAACCCAGATTCAGGCTGGACATCAGGAACAGTTTCCTTACTGTCAGAGCAATACAACAGTGGAACCAGCCGCCTAGAGAGGTGGTGGTCTCCCCAACACTAGAGACATTCAAGGTGAAACTGGACAGCCATCTGAGTGGGCTGGTAAAACTTGATGTCCTGCAACAGCAGGGGGTTGGACCTGATGGCATTTACGGCCCCTTCCAATTCTACTATTCTATGATTCTATGAAATATGAAATGGTAATGTGACCCGGACTGCCCCCCACCAGAAAATTCATCATCTTAGGGCATACTCCTATGCATGTTTATGTAAGCTGTCCTGAGGCTCTGCGAAAGGATGGCATATGAATACTCTTAATAAATAATAAATGAATGAATAAATACAATGTTTAGACTGAAAACAGTTCTAGAGTTCCTAGCATTTCCAACCAGCACGGCTACAAGGTGCATGTGGAAGTTGTAGAACATTTTTCTATTAACAGGATTGTGTCCTAAAGCGAGAGGGGGAGGGGGAACTCAACCTTAAGCCTGCAAAGGAACCCTCTGAGCAATAGAATGTAACAATAGATTTGTCTATGGTATTGTACATATCCTTTAAACCTATCTATGAACAGCACCACACGCAGGAGAGGTGTTTTCCCTTCCACAATGTATTTCATTGATAAGAGCTTCTTAGTCTTTCAAAGAAAATCCATTCCTTTTTACATAGCGTTTTTCCTTGCCAAAACATATTCCATTCACTTCAGCAGTACATACACAAGGATATTATACCTCCACATACATTTGAGTTTCATTTTTCATGATGAACCCTCAATCATCATGTCAGCACAAGTGACACCAATGGATGCAATACTAACTGCAGCAGGGAGGGTGTTTTCTGGGACTGCCACTCAGCTCTCTTACCACATGCTGCAGCACTGATGCAACGTTTATTGGGGCATATTGGTTTTAATGTGGTTTACTTGGTTAATATGTTTTATGTATTGTAAGCCACCTAGGAAGGTCCCGGCAGTTCTAGGTGGCCTATAAATACACGTATAAATAAATCAATAAATTAAGGGCAGCCTCAGTTCTCCAAGTGCCAGTCCTTAAGATGGTATCATCCATGAGCAAGAAGAAGCGGGTATCAACAGACTAGAGAAACCTGGGTTTTTGCACAGGTATGAAATGTTTAGAAATCCTTATGCAAGTGGAGTTGCCCAAAACAAACCCATGGGAACTAAGCATGTTCATTGGCATAGACTACTCTGTGTCTGTTGGGGTGCTGATGGAATGGAATGGACCTATTGGACCCTGAACAGGAAGCATTCCACAAGGCATAATTTTGTTGCAGGCTCCACTTTGGAGTGGCCACTTGCATCATCATAACAGATCACAAAAATGGACACAGGTTTTGAAAATTGCATGTGCTAGTGTACATACATAAATGCAAATTTAGACATAAGCATTATTTTAGATACAAATACAATTTTAAGTGGGGAAGAACATAGTCAGATGGTAACTGTTGATGGGCAATTTCAGAAACACTGTTGGCTCTTCATTTTTATAGCTCTTTATCTTTAAACTAGACTTGGACAGGACAGCCCTTCAAACAGAAAATATCTTCAAACAGTGCACAGTACTATAGCAATTCTTCAAATAGACGGCAGTCCTCTGTGAAAGAGAGCACAAGGTCACCCTATTTATCTATGCAAATACTGATTCATGCAGCAGTGAAATACAAAGAGCTGTATATGGATGTTTAAGCATTCAAGACTGGATTGCAAAAGGATGTTTGCTTATTAGTTAAACCATGTTTAAACTGCTTTACAGGGCAATGTCCTCTTTTGTACTCACAAACATACAACAACTAAGAACATAAATGATCATATAACTGGAATTCACTCTAAAAATAATTGCAAATAAAAAATTCCAGAATACAAACAACCAGAAATAAAAACTAAAAAACTTTTAGAATATTAAAGGATAAAAAGTAGCTCACACACTTTTTTCCTCCTTCCCCCGTGTGTGCACAGCTCTGTAAGGACATAACTATGTCCCTGTAGACGCTAAAACAAGAGAATGACACGGCAAAAATGCCTAGCAAATAGTCTGTCCAGATCACTTTTAAACAGCAGGCTGCAGAGTTTTCATTTTCCCAGCATCTCCTCCTCTCTCCACACTGAGCAGAGAAATGGTGGGGACATCAGCAATGGGACAAGACATATCTCATCTCAGAAATGTAAAATTTTGCAACACTGAGGCACATTGTGCTACCTTTACTTAGCGAGAGAAGTGGCTTGGCTGTAAGCAGATAGTACCCCTGTATGTAGACATGTGTGAAAGGGGCACAGGACTGTGCATGCAGATTCCATCTCCAACATCTAGATGCATGGCTGCTTAATGCCTTCAGTCCCTGCCTCCGCCTGGCTCAGAAAGGGGGTGCTAATCACAAAGGCCTGAGTGCGAATAGAATCTCCCTACACTTGCATAGCTAGTTTCCAGTTAAGCGTACTTATATAAGCTCTTCGGGAGAGGCCACTGTTGCCATCTACTCTGCAATGCAGCAGTTCAAAGACTCATGAGCTAGTTACTCCACATTTCTTAGTTTTAGGTCTGATCTACTGTTGTATCACTCTTCAGTCTGCTCTTCCATGCTGTCCCATGCATGAGTGGCATTTTTTCATCCTCTCCTTTGCAACCTTTTCCTGGCAATGAACAGATTGTGACGGTAGGAAATAGCACCTCACTCACCTGCCAGAACCAGCTCCCTTGCAGTAAGCAGAGACTTGTCCGGAGCATCTCAATGACTATGATGCCACGGAAGAACACTTCTAAGAAAACACAGATAGCTGCTCCGAAGATGGCCACTAAAAGTAACTGATGCACATGAAAATCCAGCATAGCACGCCCATGGATGTGGTAATAAAACAGAAAACCTGGTGACAGGGAAAGACAAACTCATGTATGAACATTTCTAAGCATACACTTGCACATTTGCATACACATTCAGGAGTTGCTTCTTTTCAGGGGGTGCTGGGGTGGGAGATGGCAAGTTGCCCTCTGCCTCCTTCATTTATTTTTTCATATTTTGCCTTTCTGAGAGAAAGTCCTCCAAAAACAGAATTGGAAAAGAAATATAAAGTAAATAAATTTCCTACCACTAATCAAATAAAAAGTGCAACAGACATAACAGTGTTCTGGGTCAACATAAAGACTATGCCTACCTCTTCACTGTATCCACTACAACTCTACATATGCTCCAAATCAAGGGCACAATCCTATGCAGGTTTAAACAGAAAGTCCTACAATTCCCAGCTATTCTGGCTGGGGAATGGAGAGAGCTGTAGGACCTTTTTCTGCCAAAACCTGCATAGGATTGTGTGTAAGGGTGTTTCTATAAGGACATCGCTTAGTACTGCCAATCCAAAGGCACTGTGCATTGATTCTGTCTTTTCTTCCTGAAAGGACTTTTTGTGGGGGGGAAAGGTGTGTGTGGGTGTGGGAGGAGACAGAGAAGGCTGCAAATGGAAAACATGGTCACCTGGAAAACCTTTCCTGCTTCTCATTCTGTGAATGAGGCAGGATGAAGCACCCTATGGATCAAATGTTATGGTCATTGAGTCATTTAACGTTTGTTTGTTGGTTGGCTTACTCTAGAGCAACTGTAATGGTCCAATTTTGATTGGGACCACCATCACTGGTAACTAATTAACCCCTTGGGACCCACACACACATTCTTCCTGCAATTTCCTCCACTCCCACCTGGGGTGAAAAATGTGCAAAGAGAAAGGAAGTCTTTGCAGGTGTCGGTGGAGGCTTCCTTTTTCTTTACTTTGCCTTAACTGCCCATCCCTACCAACCAATGCAGGGATTTCTGGTAGAAATGGTGGAGGGAGTTTTTATCCTTCCTTTCTAGTGCACAGTGGTAGCAATCCAAACTGGGGCTGCCCCATTTACTGTAGAGGGGTGTGTGTGTGTGCACACGGAATGCAATTAAATATATTCACAACCAAGCGGAGGCTGGTTGGCCACATAGCAAGGATGCCCGAGCAATGGACTGCCTGCATCAGGGTTGGGCTAGATGACTTTTAAGGTTCCCCCAGAGTATAGGATTCTCTGTTTTTCGCTTATGCTATTTAAATACAGATAACCCACAAACCCATTTCTTTATTCAAACCCTCAGTTACTCTATTTTCTTCCTCTCCAGAAAGGACACATAGCTCATTATTTAGCTATATTAATAATCAGTTCTGATATGCAATCTTTCTGCACCCCACTCCCTTTGTTATGGCTTCTCTCATTGGGTTATGTAACATAGTCAGTTTAACAGATCATCTTTTCTGTTAATTTTCATTTTGATTCCGAAAAAGATTATTCTGTGTGAATAAAGCAGTGCAATGCACTCACCTTCCACAAAAATTGCTAGCGAAAGCATCATTCTGTCCAATGCTATTGGTAATATATTAGTTCTATGCACCACAATGTCTACCAGTCCTGAGATACCAAAGAAGAGATACATGGTGGCATGTTGCCAGTTCATTAGGTGATCCCATTGTTTCCTTTCATAATTATACAGCTTCAGGTGAGGACCGTCAGGAACAAACTGCTCAGCTATCATTCCTGTGGGTGAAATAATAGGAAAAACATGTCAACGACCTTAATTTGTCCCAAGCATATAACAGTCGAGGAAGCCTTTGGCATCAGTGTGGTAATGGCAGCCCTTTTTCTCATCACTGTGCTACTGATAAAAACTCAGACCAGTACTCATCAATGTGCCCTAGTAATCCATTATTACTACTACACATGTGTATCAAACTCCACAACCTACTTTTTTCATTAGCACGGTTAAATAAAATAAAGCTACAGTCTTAAATCCAAGAAAGAGATTCTGCAACATAGCATCATAGTTTAGTATACATGCCCCAGTCCTAATCATAATGGTCTGGGCATTCAGCTAAAGGAAAACACCTTACCAATTAGAGCAAAGACAGCTTTGATGATGCCCTCAGTAAATTCTAAGCGCTGAAATCCTGCCTTGGAGCCCAGGGAAGATGTGTTCTTTTTCTTTCGACAGAGGTACTTCAATGGGTATTTCACGGACCACCACAAGCCAAAGAGAAGCAAAAAGCTCCCAGGCAGTGCATGACCTTTAAAATTTCCCATCCTTCTCTTGTGCAAAAACCTATGGATAAAGATTTTTTACAATTAAAGTATGCCTAAAAGCAATATATTTCTTGTCTCTCCAGTCTAAGTCCCAGTCTACACATTGGCTGTATATGAACATAATGAAAAATTATGGTTTGCACTACAGAAATGAGCTACAGTGAACTTTAAGCATATGTACTCCCCTCTTCCATTTTAAATGAAGCAATCTAGGATACTTTCAAAGCTTAGATTATGTTTGTCCTTAATTATGTTTTGTTGAAAAAAGCAAGTTTCATAACCCAATGTTTAAAGTTGGGTTATTTTAGTTTATTGTTGTATCCAAATACAGCCAGTTGGAACAGCAGCAGGAGGCTTTGCTTGTCAGGTATATCCTCTTTAAGTTGAATATATGTACTCTTGTAATGGTGGAAAAGAGCCTAAAGGTTAAATGTTCTGAGCATATCCACTTTGTATTAAAGGATACAGAGATGCATAATTAACCCACCTCCCGATTCTTGGGGTTGTTCCATAGGAATTAGCATTAACAGCCAAAAAGCACTGTGAAGCTATTTCATCATTTCTTTCTTAACAGATCTTTTTCTGATCAGAAAAAAAGATAGAAAAAACAGCAGTAGAACACAAGAAGTACCCTTGTTAAATCCTAATGAGAAGAATCAGTCCTGGAAGTTGTTAAAACATCATAAGCAAACAGAACACAAGTTGTTGTTTGAAAGTTTATGGTAGGGGTGGCCAAACCAGGCTTTTATTTCGCCCCTTGCCACCCACTGTGGCTCTCAGACATATGAGACTCTTCCATTGAGCAAGTTTGGCCACCCCTAGCTTATGCCATTATAAATATGTCCCACTTCAACATGTTACAAGATTCCTTATTATTTGTTTGAGCATAATGAAGCTGTGCAAAGAGATCAAATCAGTCAATCTTAAAGGAAATCAACCCCGATTGCTCTTTAGAAGGCCAGATACTGAAGATGCCACTCAAATACTCTGGCCACCTAATGAGAAGGAAGGACTCCCTGGAGAAGAGCCTCATGCTGGGAACAATAGATGGCAAAATAAGAGGAGGCGGCAGAGGATGAGGTGGCTAGATGGAGTCACTGGGGCAGTGGATGTGGACATGGGTGGACTCTGAGGGATGGTGGAAGACAGGAGAGCCTGGACGAATGTTGTCCATCAGGTCGTGATGGGTCAGGCATGACTTTGCAACTAAACAAAACAATGAAGCTGAATAATTCCAATACTTGCACAGCTGCCATGCCCAAATCATCAACACTTAGCATTCAAATTAGTTCATGAACCATATGTGAGCAATTCTTATCTGTGACAGCTAGATACATTGTCCCAGTAACATGGCAGTAACACAGCCTAGTTGCAGATTGACTAAAATAGGGAAAATACATCACTGTAGGAAATGACTCCAAGTCTGTGTGTTCCATGTCAATTCCCTTGATATATATATTGTGTGTGTAAAAAATGTCAAAAATTATTATTCTCACACTGAATATTTTATCAGTGTAACCAAGTCAATAGCATTATAAGAACGTAAGAAAAGCCATGCTGGATCAAACCAATGGTGCATCCAGTCTGGCACTCTGCTCACATGGTGGCCATCCAGCTGCTCACAGGATCTCTCAAGCAGGAGGAGTACAAGAGTTCTACCTGCCCAAGCTTCTCAGCATACTGCCCTGGATAACAGAGTTCGCGCATAGCCAGCAAGGCTAGTAGCCATTGATTGCCTTCTCCTCCATGAATTTGTCCAGTCAACTCCTAAAGCTATCCAAATTAGTGCCCATCACTACTTCCTATGTCAGTGAATTCCATAGTTTAAATAAGCAGAAGAAGTATTGCCTTTTATCTGTCTGGAATCTCCTACCAATCAGCTTCATGGGATGTTCTAAATATTGGGAGAGAGGGAGGGGAGAGAGAGGTCCCTTTCTCCACACCATACATAATTTTAAACACCGCTCTCATGTCTTCTCTTAACTCTACTTTTTTCTAAGCCAAGCAACCCCAATTGCTCTCACTGTTCCTCACAGAAAAGTTGCTCTAACCCCTTCATTGTCTTAGTTGTCTTTCTGTGCACTTTTTCCAACTGAATAAAGTCCTTTTTAGGTTCAACAACCAGAACTATATACAATATTCTAAAGTATGGTTGCACCAAAAATTTGTATAAGGGGAGTATAATCTTCGTAGTTTCATTTTCAATTCCTTTCCTAATTAAGCTTAATAGGGAGTTTGCCTTTTTTACAGCTGCTATATGTTGGGTGACACTTTCATTGAGCTGCACACCACAATTCCAAGATCCCTTCCTTGATCAGCCATGGCTAGCTCAGTTCCCATAGCCTACACAAGAAAATGGGATATTTTTTGCCCCAATATGCATAGCTTTACACATGCTTATATTGAACTGTATTTGCCAGTTTGATGGCCATTCTCCTGGCCTGAAGAGATCTTTCTGGAGCTTCTCACAGCCCCTTTTGGTTTTACCCACCCCTTTAACCGCTTGGCCATTACTTATTCCTATTTCCAGCTAATTTGCAAATAGATGGAAAAGCTTTGGTCCTAATACAGATCCCTGTGGGATTCCACTGTTTACATCCTTCCATTGGGAGAAATTGCAATTTATACCCACACTATGCTTCCCGTTCTTAACCAATTACTGATCCATACAGTACTGATGCCTCTCTTATTCTGTGACTGCTTAATTTGCTCAGGAGTCATTGCTGAAGCTTTTTGAAAGTTCAGTTAACAATGTCTATCACATCACCCTGTTCACATGCTTACTAAAATTCCGAAATAACTATAAATGACTAGTGAGACAGGACTTACCTTTGCAAAAGCCATGTTGATTTTTTCATCAGGGCTTGACCTTCTGTGCACTTACTGATTCTGTCTTTAATAATATTTTCAAGCAATTTAGCCAGAAAAGACACTAAGCTAACTGGCCTGCAATTCCCTGGATCTCCACTTAATTCTTTTTAAAAAAATATGTGTTACATTGGCCATTCTCTGTTCCTTTGATACAGAAGCTGATCTTAAGCAAGATTAAGCATTTTGGCAAGAAGGTCAGCAATTTTATATTTAAGCTCTTTAAGAACTCTGAGATGGGTACCATCTGGGAACAATGATTAACATTCAGTTTATCAATAGATTTGGGTATTTAATCTTTTGTCACTACGATCTGTCTTAATTCCTCAGACCCCCTTCCTGAATACATAAGTGCACCAAGAGTTATCTGTTCTATATCCTCAGCTGTGAAAACAAATGAAAAGAATTCATTCAGCTTCTCTGAAATCTCCTTAGCTTCCTTTAGGACTCCTTTAATTCAGTTATCATCCAATGACAAAGCATAATTTGTCAATATTATATTACGACATTATAATAATATGTGCTAATTGCAGCAATATCACCACCATAAAGCAAATCCACAGCCCTTCTTTAAAGGAAGGGGTTTCCACTTAGGCACACTTAATAGGTACATAGACCCCCCTCCATACACAGAGCACAGACTGCAAAGTTGGACTGTGTACATCAGTTTCCCCCCACTACTGTCCCACCCTAGGAAATTTATGTATGATTATTTGAAACTCATCTTAATTTGTACCAGAGCACAGCTCTGAAATTTGATAATTAAACTACCCAATATGCAGTCCATGCCCCTTACCACAGAGGATAAGGGGATGGTCCTCCAAATAACAAGAAAGTATTTCTAAGGAGACTTAAGGAGACCCCTTCTGGATCACCCCAAGCCTCTTTAGCCCAGCATCCTGTTTCTCAGTGACAAACCACAATAGTCCTCTGATGCTGGTGGTCCTAACCCATAATATTCAGAGACTTCTGATTCTGAGGATGGCCATCATGACATAAGAAAAGTTTGAGAACCTGATGAATTTTCTAAAAAAAAATAGGCATCATTTGGAAAATAGCTTTGTTTGAAGTCTCCACTTGGCCTCATTTAAGAAAAGAAGTCCTATTCTTACATCACGTAATTAAAATCACCATTAAAAATGTGAAAGTGACTTGGTTTGGATTGAGTGTGAATTAAATTTTGATAAGGAGCTTATCAACTACATGTGCTCAACAGAAAACTCAAGTCAAGAGGGGCATCGGAGGCCCTCCCCTCCCCTCCCACGCAATTATGAAACTCTATTCTACTACACATTTCCAAAATTCAGTCAAGAGCATTTTGGAAGGGGTGGATCTCTTTTCTCTTGAGCCACGGTTTGGGACTAAGTGTTGCTCAGCGAAGGGTGAGGAAATTCATTTCAATTAGAAAAAATCACATTGTGTTTTGCTGATGTAATTTTACACCAAAACTGCTTATATATTTGTTTGAAATGTTGTAACCACCAAACAAACTACAAAACCTCTCTGTTTCAATGGCATATCACTGCCTTTTTTATTGCTGAAGACATTCTTTTTGTTAGAGACCTGTCTTTTCCTTGATGCTTTGTTTTCCCTGAATGCCATAAAATTTATCATCGCAGCGCTCACCACAGGTGCAGCTTTCTCTTGTACCAACACATCAAGGCCTGCAATTTAATGTAAATTGGGTCTTCAAACAGTATGCATGCATGAAATGTTTGTGATTATAGTTAAAATTAATTCAAATGAACAAAAGAGAACACAAGAAGGAATTGGAGCCTAGCAAAAATGTTGGGATGAATGCTATTTCCCCAATACATGCAGGGATTACAGTCTCAACATTTATTTAAATGCATTGCTTGTCTCATGCTCAGACATGTAGTGCAATCCAATAACTACTTCCAAGTAAATTTGTTAGGATTCCATGAAGTGTACATAGCAATGCAACTCTGCAGAATAACCCTACCACCAGGAAAGCATAACTTTTTGCCTTGAGGGACATACAGGGTAGAGGCTGGGATGGCTGGGGCTGCACACTAGTCACAGTCATTCACATACATGAGCTCGATAATCACAGGGATTTTTGTGGTTGCTGCACTGTCAGATTTCTTTGGCAGGGCAGGGATGTGCTCCCAAGACCTACAGACATTGCCC